CGCACGGAACGCTGTTACCTTCCCACCAAAGGTGGTCCCTATTTTTCTACTTGCATTTTTTACCTGCTTTCGAACTGCTAGGTTGGCAGAAGCTGGGACAAGTAACGGGAGCTCACCCCATTACGCGGCACACTAGGGGTTCGAACCGCTGAACTACCGGCCGACCTTTCGATCGACAAGCTCAGCGTCTTAGTCGCTGAGCCACCGCGTCCCACCGAGTGAACTAGGCAGTAGTTATTTTACACGGGTAACATTCAATCTTTGATGTAGACCAGCCTGCCTCAACCAAGCCATCAGTTTGGGCTACAGAAGGGCATTTGGCTCAGGGGGTCAAAGGACTTGGCGTTTTCGCTTCTGGGACTGAGTAGTATCAAGACATGGAGTTTGCTAAGTGCCCGTTTCTGCTTGGTCCATCCGGTGTTGCATTTTCTATCTCATAGCTTAGCTCTTGGGCATCAATCCATTGCAATGGCAAAAAAAAAGGGGGAGTTGCCAGTTTTGGATGATTAGAGGCAGGGGTGGGTTCTACTTACCTTTACTACTGGTTTGCAACGGGGCCGCGCATGCACAGAAGCTTCTGTGCATGTGCAGATTGTCATTTATGACGTCCGGGCGGGTGGGCGGAGCTTCCCGTCGATTTCACTACCGGTTCTATAGAACCGGACAGAACTGGGAGCAACCCACCACCGGTTAGAGGTCTAAAATTCATGTTGGTGGGCCTTCTGTAGCTCCGGATGTCAACTGAAAGCCTCATGAAGGCATCTAAAGTACCATCATCCCCACCAAAAGGAGATCATCAGACGTTTGTCCCAAACAATCGATGAAGCTAGGATGGAAAAGGTGTGGGACATTTGATATTGGCCAAGATCTTTACTCCACAACACCCTTCAATTCAGGTTGAATTCCATGCTGACATTGCCCAAAGGGGATATTTCCTGGCTTGCTGTAGAATTCCTTGGACATCTGGCCACCCACGTTCCACCCTCTCTCCCTCTCCGGCCTTGTCACAGATGGACCTGGAAGACTCCATCTGTGCCTGTCGACAGTAATCTTCTCCTCTTCTCCTTCTGGATGCCAGAAAGACAGATGTGTTCAATGTTACCGAAATAGCCGAGGAAGAGATAACTTTGGGAAAAGAGCACACACCGTCCTAAAATTTGATCCTCAGCATTGTCATTGATTGAAAGCACAGGGCGGGGTGAAATTTAGGAGAAGATCTCGGGCACATTTCATTATAGGCGTGCCGAATTGCCTCTGCCTGTCTGTCTGTCCATCCATGCAATACCTCTGTCTTTCTTTCAGTTGTGAAATTCTAAATTTTGATCCCCGGTGTTGGTCCCCGGACTAAAAGCACAGGGCTGAGTGAAAATAGGGAGAAGACCTGGCCACATTTTTTTGCAGTGGTGCAGAATTGCCTCCCTGTCTGTCCGTCCGTCCATGCATGCAATGCATCTTCCCAACAGCAGATTAACAGAGTTGGAAGGCTTGCTTCTCTCCTTGATAATAGTTTCCTTCCGTTGCTTCTTTCTCCTGCCTTCAGGTGCTTTGGAGAACAGCTTGACCCCCTCTTCTTTGTGGCAGCCCCTGAGATTAGATTAACAGAGTTGGAAGGGACCTTATAGGTCATTTAGTCCACCCCTCCGCCCAAGCAGGAGACCCTACACCATTTCTGACAGATGGAAGTCCAGTCTCTTCTTGAAAGCCTCCAGTGATGAAGCTCTCACAACTTCTGAAGGCAACTTCTGTTCTACTGGTTGATTGTTCTCACTGTCAGAAAATCTCCTTATTTCCAGGTTGAATCTCTTCTTGAGCAGTTTCTATGATTGGCCTTCAGGTGCCTAGGAAAATAGCTTGCAATGCATCTATATTTCTTTCAGTTGTGAAATTCTAAATTTTGGTCCTCAGCGTTGCTCTCTGTCTCTGTCTCTGTCTCTCTCTTTCTCTCTCTCTCTTCCCCTCTTTTCTCTCCCCCTCCCTCTCTCCCTCTCTCTCTATCTCTCCATCCATATAATGCATCTGTTTATGTCTCTATCCGTTGTGCTGAAATGGAAAACACTGCAACATCTTCAGGGGAAAAGAAAAAAAAACCCGAGCATATACATTGAAGAAAAAATAAATCCAGATATTTAATGCCGATTATGCTAACTTTAACGTGAGGGGAAAAAAAAAAAACAGGAAGAAAAAGCAAATTAAGCAGGAAAAGAAAAAGAGCGAGAAGATTCCTATAATAACTATTGATAGCGATATAAAATTAATTCCGCCCTTAAGCTTATCATTAAATCTAGATTATAGAGAAGCATTTGGCGCCATCCGCTCCTTTCTGAAACACTGAATTGTTGTTGTTGTTTTTTAAAAAAAATCAGAAATAGATAACGCATTCATATATCCTGGATCCATCCCTCCAAAGGGAGAGGATTACTTCCTTTCCATTTACCGTAATTATCCTTTTTGTCATGCTGCAAGCTTGGAAAAGCAGAATCCCTTCACAAAATCCAGTCCAAAGCTGTCTATCTCGGCTTGACCTTTCCAGCTTTTTGGTGGGTTAGTGTGTTTTGCAAAACAGCCCCCCCCTTTTTTTATAAGCAAACTAAATCGGGAGAATTATTATGATCGTGTCCGTCACGCGGTCAGCCAGATGTTCAGACTGGATTTGGCATTTTTAATCCCCCCACCCCCCGTCGAGGCCTTCTCAAGGACTCGAGACAGGCAGAAATATTGTCGTTTGGTTGGTAATTAAAGTGTGTTGTGTCAGGATGTCAGCCCTTCCAAGCAAAGCTGCCTTTTTGCAATTGACGAATGGTTTATTTTTGTCAATGCTGACAATATTCGAGTGATGCACCAGATGTTTTGGGATCGCACCCAAAGTACTGATTATTGCGACCACAATTGAGCCCAGATTTTATGTTGCTAAGTGAGAAACGCATTAAGTGAGTTTTGCCTCACTTTTTTTCAGTGCCGGTGTAACTTCCAACCGTCACTTAACAAACTGTTGTAAGTCGAATACTACCTGTACTATGGATACTATCTTTGCTTTCTTTCACCACAGTCGTTCTCCTTCTGCGTGTAGTTTTCTGTACAATAGTCCTCGGCTTACGACCACAATGGAGCCCAAAATTTCTGTGGCTAAGCGAGACAATTTGTTAAGCGAGCTTGGCTCCGTGTTACGGCCTTTCTCTTGCCACCGTTGTTCAGCGAATCACTGCAGTTCAGTTACGAACACCGTTGTTAAGTGAATCGCTGCAATTAAATTAGCGCCATGGTTGTTAAGTGAATCTGATTTCCTCCTTGACTTTGCTCATTAGAAAGTCGCAAAAGGGGATCGTATGACCCCAGGACACTGCAAATATGAGTCAGTTGCCAGGGTCTGAATTTTGATCACTTGGCCATGGGGATGCTCATTGGTCATAAGTGTGAAAAATGGTCAAAAGTCGCTTTTTTCAGTGCTGTTGTAACTTTGAACAGTCACTAAGCAAACTGTTTGTAAGTCGGGATTTCCTGTATTGATACCGTCCTTGTTTTCATTTGCCACAGTCGTTCTATTCCTGTTTACAAGTTTCTGCAGTTAATGATTTTCTCCCGTTCTTTCTCTTCTCTTCCGCTGTGTTTCGAGTCCCCATGATGCAAACTTTGTGTTGTTTTTCCCACCAACAGCTCTTAAATATGGGATGTTATACAGTGGTGGGTTCCTCCCGGTTCGGCCCGGTTCGGCCAAGCCGGTACCGAACCGGTTCTCTTTGTTCGGTGCTTCCCAAACTGTGTCAAAAGGGGGTTTCTTCATTGTGTAATGATGCACAAACCCATTACCCAATTACCGCAGGGACATTTAAACTGAGTCAAGTTGGGTCTTGCCTACATTAGGTAAATAGGACTTTCTGATAAACCGTTTGGGGGTAATTAAAGGAAAAGTAGAAGTGTGTATAGTCAAGGCGATGGTTTTCCCAGTTGCAATGGATGGCTGTGAAAGTTGGACCATAAGGAAGGCTGAGAAGGCCAAAGAATTGAGGCCTTTGAACTCTGGTGCTGGAGAAGATTCCTGCGAGTCCCTTGGACTGCAAGGCGATCCAACCGGTCAGTCCTAGAGAGATCAACCCTGACTCTCTTTAGAAGGCCAGATCCTGAAGAGGAAACTCAAATATTTTGGCCACCTAATGAGAAGGAAGGACTCCCTGGAGAAGAGCCTAATGCTGGGAACGATGGAGGGCAAAAGAAGAAGGGGACGGCAGAGAACGAGGTGGCTGGATGGAGTCACTGAAGCAGTGAGCGAGAGCTTCAATGGACTCCAGAGGATGGTAGAGGACAGGAAGGCCTGGAGGAACATTGTCCATGGAGTTGCGATGTGTCGGACATGACTTTGCAATTAACAACAACAAAGGGAAAAGTTTGAAAAGTCTTCTCTGGTGTTGTTGTTGTTGTTGTTGTTTTTAACTTCCCAGTCTAGATGTACCTTGTTGGCAGGCTCCCATCCAAATCCAGCCCCGTTCTGACCCTGCTTAGCTTCTGAATCCAGGACTGCCAGATGTTGCCACTTACGGAGCAGAGGTGGGATTCACTTACCTTCCCTACCGGTTCACAAATGCGAGCGCACGTGCCACCTCTGCACATGCGCACGGCCGTCTGCGCATGGGCAGTAGTCGTGCATTACATCCGGGCGGGTGGGCGGAGCCTCCTCCAGTCACCACTACCGGTTCACGCAATCTGGACAGAACCGGCTGAATCCCTCCATGTTATGGAAGCCAGGAAAATCACGCTGAGCCATAAGGGATTTGAACCCGGTTCTTGCTAATGCAAAGTAATAAAGTTAAAAGATATCTGCAGAGATTTTGGGAAACCTGAGTAGGTCTTGGCTGTGCCTCCTCCTCTTCCTCCTCCTCCTCCTCCTCCTCCTCCTCCTCCTCCTCCTTCTTCCCCTCTTGACAATCTTCACCAAAAGCTCCTTTGTTCTCTCCATGCCCGACAATGTTGCAAACTGGAACATTAAGGAATTAGCATTGCAAAAAAAATTTTCACTTTCGGATTTTATTATGCTCCTTCCATGTCGTGACAGCTGTTCGCTTTTTCCGCCCCATCCTTTCTCTCCCCAAAGAGGTGACTGTCAGATGCATCTTACTGCCGCTGAAAAAAAAAAAGGGAACGAAAGAAAAGAGCAAGGAGATTAATAAACACAATTCCCAGGAGCAAATGTAGCCGTCACCGTTTGGCAACCATTAAAACGTGGCGCTTTTGAATTCTGATCTAAGTTATACCTCTCAGCCGAGCTTCCATCTGTTTGGGTTGGGGGGAAAGAGACACGGGGGCCAATTTGTGTGTCCAAGGATAATTCCCCAAGCGTTGTGCTCAGGCCCACTAACAGCATCATAAAAAAGGGAACCTCATATGCAGCGAGAGAAGTAAATTATCACAATAATTAAAGGCTCCGTCAAGTCTGAAGCAAACATTGGGAAGAAGCTTCCTGCTGTGTCCCTTCACACTTCACCTTTGGCTGGTGATGGAGAGTTTTAGCCAGGTCACCGTGATCATTTAGCCAGAAAAGAGATAGTGCTGGGATCATGATGATCTTGGAAGCCATCCCAGAAACCAATGGAAGGAAGAAAAATGGAAGGAAGGAAGGAAAATGGAAGGAAGGAAGGAAAATGGAAGGAAGAAAAAGTGGAAGGAAGGAAGGAAGGAAGGAAGGAAGGAAGGAAGGAAGGAAGGACAATGAGTGGAAGCTAATAAAGTGTTCTATTCTATGATATTCTATGATGCAAAAGAGAAGAGAGGTAAATTACAATCTGAGATGGACCTATTAGGAGTAGGAAAGGAGACTAGAATGAGCAGTAATACTTCGCAAGATGCATCAAACCCGAAGTCCACATGTTTGTTATTTATTTGCACAAGGCGAGCATTCTTTTTATTGGAAAAATACTCACTCCGGCGAGGTGAGCAGCCGGGCGTGACAAGGGATGGCGTGGCGTGGCCGGGCGTGGCAAGGAGAGGCCGGGCGAGACGAGGTGCCCCTCAATATGAGTGATGTTGAGTTGGCCATGCCCACCCAGCCACGCCTACCCAGCCGGTCATTAGGGCAGAGAACCGGTTGTTAAATTATTTGAATCCTACCACTGACCGTGTTGAATCAAGAAACACTGTCCATGTGCTCGTAGATTACTTTTTCAGGGCCATTGTAACGTCAAACGGTGGCCAATGGTTGTAAGTTGAAGACTACTTGAAAGCAGAGTATAAAATAATGCCAGGAATGTTGGTTTTGCCCATAGCCAGCAAAGGGGAATAATTAGGACAGAAATGACAATATGAAAGCTGTCCCAGATCAAAGGACGGACTGCCTGGTGTTGCATTGAGGCAAAATCCGACTCACAACTTCCTTAGAAGAGGCTTCCATTGAGTTCAATGGCGTCTTTGTTCGAGGAAGATTGGGCTGCAAATTAATCCAAAATCAGACAAAACCCTCATGCACCGTCCTCGTGGAAGTAATCCTCCCTGGGTTCAGCGGCCTTTAATCCTGGATAAGTGGGTTTTAATTCCACCGTGAAGCTTATTTCCAAGAAACTATGCCGATGCTGGCTTCCAAGTTATGCGCACTTCTGCAGAATTTCAGATCCCGTGGAAATTTTTTCGGGAACGCGTTCGGCCGAGTTTGCTAACCCTGTTAGGGAGCTTATGCTGAGCAAAAGACATTTCTTTTCACGTTATGGGCAGCTGAGGGTCAGCAAAAATCAAAGTGAACTTCTTATGATTTGCCAGCCAGAAAAGAAAGATGGACTCACACAGTGGTGGGATCCAGTGGTGAAATTCAAATTTTTTATTACCGGTTCTGTGGGCGTGGCTTGGTGGGCGTGGTGTGGCTTGGTGGGCATGGCTTGGTGGGCATTGCAGGGGAAGGATACTGCAAAATCTACATTCCCACCCCACTCCAGGGGAAGGATACTGCAAAATCTCCAGTCCCACCCCACTCCAGGAGAAGGATACTGCAAATTCTCCATTCCCACCCCAGTCCTGGGGGAAGGATACTGCAAAATCTCCATTTCCACCTCACTCCTAGGGGAAGGATATTGCAAAATCTCTATTCCCACCTCACTCTGGGGCCAGCCAGAGGTGGTATTTGCCGGTTCTCTGAACTAGTCAAAATTTCCGCTACCGGTTCTCCAGATTACTCAAAATTTCCGCTACCAGTTCTCCAGAACCTGTCAGGACCTGCTGGATTTCACCCCTGGTGAGATCCTCCTGGTTCAACAACCAGTTCAGCATGCACATTTTGAAGAAATCTTCACTTCCAGGTTTCTTTGGAGGCGTAACACAGCTGATTCGCGTGGCAATCAGCTCTGCCGCGCAAATCAGCTGAGTAGATAAAGGTAGGAAAATAGCGCAGGCGGGTGGGTGGCCCCATCTGATCGTTGGAGCGAACTAGTTCTCTCCTAGCTGATCGTCGGAGCTACCGGTTTGCCCGAACTGGTAGAATCCCACTGGACTCGCAGTAGCCACATCTGTTTTTAATCGACGAATGAATGTCCTGTGTGGTTCTTGGTTCTGCCCCAGAACCGGTTGATTTTTCTGATGTTCCACACGATTCTTCTGCTCAGGTGTCCTTTGGGGTGGTTTTCCTAAAGAAGTGGGCTATTGTGAGGTGCCCCCTCCCCAGCATTCAGTAAGGACAGCTGGTGCCATCTCTTAAGGAGAACCTCTGAGCACCAGCATCTGGAGAATTCTGGGGAGGTTGAAGTCCTCTCAGCTGGAAAATGCTACCTGGGAAGATTGCTGAAGGTTGGGCTGATGTTTTTACAGCCACAACATTCACTCCCACGAGGTTTATTTTATGTATTTTGGAGGGGAGGGGGTCATCGGCAGCTCCCTTGCCTCCTTCAAATATTTGTTTTCTATCCTTGTTAAAGAGCAGCTTTGCAGCTATTCAGGGGAAAAGCAAAATATTTCTAAGAAATTAGAAAGAGAGATTCAGAGAGAGAGAGAGAGAGAGAGAGAAGGGGAGAGAAAGAAAGATTGAAGGAGAGAGAGAGATTGAGAGAAGAGGAGAGAGAGCGAGAAAGACTGAAAGAGAGAGAGAGAGATTGAGAGAAGGGAAGTGAGAGAAAGATTGAAAGGAGAGAGAGAGATTGAGAGAAGGGGAGAGAGAAAGATTGGAGAGAGAGGAGAGAGAGAGAAGAGGAAGAGGGAGAGAGAAAGAGAAAGATTGAAGGAGAGAGAAAGATTGAGAGAGAGAGAGAGAGAGGAGAGAAAGATTGAGGTGGGAGAGAGAGAGAGAGATGATAACCAGCAGTAATTATTGGCAGAAACCACTGGATTTTAGTAAGCCCTCCTTTGCTTAAGTTCCAGATGTGTATATTTTTAAGCCGAGGATCCATTCTTGCCTGCGTCTAAAATTAAATTGTATATTTCATTCAGAATCCAGCAGGGTGACTTATGTAACTGTTCCCTTCTGGAAAGCCATGTGTGACCTGATTTTTTTTTCCTTTTATTTTATTTTTTCCTTTTTGCATTAAGGCAGGTTTCAAGGCAGTTAACATAAACACACAGCTTTCTACGTGTAATGTAAATATTTCTGTTGTGCACACAACTATAAAAGCAGCATGTCGACAATTTTTCATATAACCACCAATTTATAGAAGTCGGGTCTTATGTAACCTGAGGCCTAATAGCTTTGAAAGGGGGATGTATGAATTAATAGATGCTCTGTTTGGTCTCCAGGAAATTCAGAAATGGAGAGAGAGAGAGAGAGAGAGAGAGAGAGAGAGAGAGAGAGAGAGAGAAAAGAGAAATGGAGAGAGAGAGTGAGAAAAGAGAAAGAGAGAGAAGAGAGAGAGAAAAAAGAGAGAAAAGAGAGAGAGACACAGGGAGAGAGAGAAAAAAAGAGAAAGAGAAATGGAGAGACAGAGAAGAGAAAGAGAGAGACAGGGAGAGAGAGAAAAGAGAAAGAGAGAAACGGAGAGCGAGAGAAAGAGAAAAGAGAGAAAGAGAAAAGAGAGAAAAAGAAAAGAGAGAAAGAAAAGAGAAATGGAGAGAGAGAGAAGAGAAAGAGAAATGGAGAGAGAGAAGAGAGAGAAAGAGAAAAGAGAAAGAGAGAAAGAAAGAGAGAGAGGAGAGAGAGAGAAAGAGAAAAAAGAGAAAGAGAAAAGAGAGGAGAGAAAAAAGAGTGAGAAGAAAGAGGAAAGAGATGGGAGGGAGGGAGGGAGAGACAGAAAGAGAAAAGAGAGAAGGGAGGGAGGGAGGGAGGGAGAAAAATACAGTTGTGGCTGGTTGAAAAGGTTGGCATAACTGGGAGTGAGGAGTGGGTGAATTGGGCTATCGGAAATGTCGGTTTTTCCTTTATTTCTTTGTACCTGAATCTGCATTTTAAGCAGTCAGTCTGAGGAGTGGCATGGAGTAAGAGGGGAAGGAGAAAGCAGCTATCAACAAAATGCAGGGGATTATACAAGTAGTCCTCAATTTACGGCCACAACAGAGCCCAAAACTTACATTGCTAAGTGAGAAATGTGTGAAGTCGAGTTTTGTCCCATTTGACATTTCTGGCCACCGTTGTTGAGTGAATCACTGCCGTTGTTAAGTTAGTGAATCTGGTTTCTCCATTGACTTAGCTTGTCTGAAGGTCGCAAAAGGGAATCACATGACCCCGCCCCCAGGACACTGTCACGGTCATTAATGCGAGTCACTTGTCAAGCATCCGAATGTAAATCTCCTCACCATGGAGATGTTGAAACGGTCCTCAGTGTGAAAATCGGTCCTAAGTCACTTTTTTTCTGTGATGATGTAACTTCGAACGGTCCCTTACCCAACTGTTGTAAGTCGAGGACTAGCTGTATAGCATTGGGTCGAAGGGAGAAGGAGAAGGAAGTGTCTGTGGAGGCTCCCAATCGTCTATTCATGGTTGTCCCAAAAGTGCTTTCTTTCCCCAAAAGGCAACTGAACTTTCTTCATTTCCTTTTTTTCCCCCTTGAAAACATTTCGCTTCTCATCCCAAAAGCTTCTTCACTTCTCTGAAGTTCTTCTGAAGAAGCTTCTGGGATGAGAAGCGAAATGTTTTCAAAGAAAAAAAGAAAAAAAACCCAAGAAAGTCCAAGAAAGAAAAAAAAAGCCACACCTTTGAAGACAAAGACAAGGAAGGATCTTCTCAGGTGGCAGAACAAGAAAAAAATATCAACGCAACACGGACTCTTCTGGACATGGACTTTTCTTCTCTTCTCCTTGGGAGGTTTTGGGTGAATTTTTTTAAAAAATTACTGCACATCCTCCTCCTCCTCCTCCTCCTCCTCCTCCTCCTCCTCCTCCTCCTCACCTGTTACAACAGCCTGTGGTGACTTTGTCCACGTGACGTAATTTTGCCCCCGCCTTCTGCTCTGTCTGTCATCTGGACGTTGTGATGGATGTCGGTCAACCTCTGTTGGAATTTTGTTTGTTTTGTTTTGTTTTTCTTCAAGAACTGGGATTGACACAAAGGCATCTCGCCCTCCTTGTTGTTGACGATGCTCTTCGGTTCTCTCAGGGACGGTTCCCCCATCAGCTTGTTGATACTTGAACTGGATATGTGGAAAGACGTTCTGGAAGAAGTAAACAAGAAGCATTAGCTTCTCTTGGCCGGATCTGTGGAACTCCCAACAGATTTGGGGACTGCCAATTATAAAGCCCGGGTTAATATTTTAATAAAAGCACGGGTAGATCAACTTTTATGTAGATAGATCTTTATCGAGGTAGATCTTTATCTCACCAGTTTTGGAGAGATGATAGGCAGTGATAAACCTGGTTGGTGTAGAAGCTCTTTGTTGGGTTTGAAGCTCATTGTTCCATGGTGTCAATCCGTAGTTTCAAAAATTACCCATAGCAGTTCAGTTCTGGGCATGTCTCCTCAAGTGAAGGTAACAGTGGATGGAAGGATTATTATTATTAAGGTTGGTCGCACAGTCAGCCAATGTTTACCTGGGATTTGTATCCATCTGAGATAGGCAGGTGTCGTGGTTTGGTGGTGTTAAAAATATTGATTTGCTGGATGTCAGCTGTTCCAAGCCAACCTGCCAAGCCATTTCTAGATTTTGCAAGCCATTTGAAAGACAGCAGTCATTCAAATTCCAAGTAAAGTTCGGTTCCTGAAACCTAAGTTTCAAATCAGGTTGAATTGGCTGCCTCCATTCACGATTTTTGACCAGAGATTGGTTTTACCGTATTTTTTTGGAGTATAAGACTCACCAAAGTATAAGATGCACCTACCTTTTTTGGTGAGGAAAACAAAAAAAAAGAAATCTGCCTCTGCCTCCCAGCAATTTTGCCTCGTTGCAGCAAACAGCAAACAGCCAGCTTTACTTTCAGTTTTGTTTTCAGCATAGCTTGATTAGCACAAGGGAAAAAAAATAAATCTGCTCCCAGCAGTTTACCTCCTTGCAGCAAGCAGCAGAGGCCCGTGCAAAACAGCTGAGAGCAAATCAGCTGAGAGTTGGGAGGCCGATCCAATCAACTTGTGCTAATTAGCCTGTGCTGAAGCTGAAAGGAGCTGTTTTTTCTTGCTGTTTGCTTGCAAGGAGGTAACTGCTACAAAGCAGAGGCCAAAGGGTGGGGGCCAGTGGGTGGGCGGGGCTACATTCGGTGTATAAGACGCACCTAAATTTTCACCCCATTTTAGGGGGGGGAAAGGTGCATCTTATACTCCGAAAAATACGGTAAATTTCTTCTCAAGGAAGGAACTCTTCTCTCTTTGAGGACCTTCTGAGTGGTGGCTCCTTCTCTGTGGAACATCATTCCCCCTGGGATACAATGGCCTTCACCCAGTAGTGGGATTCAAGTAATTTAACAACCGGTTCTCTGCCCTAATGATTTCTTCCAACAACTAGTTTGCCAAACTGCCCAGAAAGTTAACAACCGGTTCTCCAGAAGTGGTGCGAACCGGCTGAATCCCCACCAGTGCCTTCACCCTGTTGCTTTGCTGAAGGGTTTTGAAGTCTAAGTTTCGTCTGGAAGCCTGGAGATCCCAAATGGAAATGATTGTGTGTCCCACAGGTGCCACTGAGCCTTGGTAGTACAGTGGTCTAAAGCACCCTGTTATTAAGACCAGCTGCCTCCAATTACTGCAGGTTCGAATCTCGCCAAGGCTCAAGGTTGACTCAGCCTTCCATCCTTTCTAAGGTAGGTGAAATGAGGACCCAGTTGTGGGGGCAATAAGCTGACTTTGTATAAATATACAAAAGGATGAAGGCTATTGCTTAGCGCATTGTAAGCCTCCCTGAGTCTCCGGAGAAGGGCGGCATATAAATCAATTTTTTTTTAAAAAAAGGTGCTTTTTGTCAAGAGGCAACGCATTTCTGATTTTTTTTTTTCCTTTCAAGATGTTTCACTTCTGATCCAAGAAGCTTCTTCGGCTCAAAATGATTGTGTGGTTGATCTGATTGCTGCCAAAATAGGGGTGGGTGCGGGGAATGTGATGGTTTTGATGTTGTTGTAAATGTGTGAGTTGGATGGCCGTGTAAATACGTTGAATTAATAATAAATTGCAGAATAACCCGGTGCCTCTGGCGTTCGAACACCGGCTGAGAAGGTGGCCCCTTCCCACCCACGCAAACTGAATTATTTCCCCGAATCGTTTGGACTTAGTGTGAGAAGCTGATTTGGAAAGGCAGATCGAAACAATACAGAAATGGCTTTGATGATACAAATCAAATCCATCCTGGCCATTCGGCCTGAACAGATCTCTGCTTGTTTATTTCGCTGCTTCCTAGACCCACCTGGCAAGCAAAAAACGACTGTTAAGAAAAACAAAAGAGAAATGAAATATTAACATTCCTCATTAGAAGGGAACAGTAGCTTCTCATGCATGAATGAAGCGTAAAATCAAACGTCTGTAAATAAATACTTACCCCTGACAGATTTGGTGTAGGGACTTGCCTTCTACGCAACCATTTGTCTAAATCTATAACTTTCGTAAGGGCTGAAAGTCTCCTGTCCCATTAAGGGAGAATTCTGCCATATTTTGCTTTTTCCTCCCACATTTGAAAAGCTACTGGTATTGATATGTATTGATATTAGGGGTGAAATGCAGCAAGTTCTGACAGGTTCTGGAGAACCGGTAGCCGAAATTTTGAGCAGTTGGGAGAACCGGCAAATGCCACCTCTGGCTGGCCCCAGAGTGGGGTGGGAATGGGGATTTTGTAGTATCCTTCCTCTGGAGTGGGGTGGGAATGGAGATTTTGTAGTATCCTTCCCCTGGAGTGGGGTGGGAATGGGGATTTTGTAGTATCCTTCCCCTGGAGTGGGGTGAGAATGGGGATTTTGTAGTATCCTTCCTCTGGAGTAGGGTGGAAATGGAGATTTTTTTTTTTTAATTTTTTAATTTTGATTTATATGCCGCCCTTCTCCGGAGACTCAGGGCGGCTTACAATGTGCTCAGCAATAGCCTTCATCCTTTTGTATATTTTATACAAAGTCAGCTTATTGCCCCCACAACTGGGTCCTCAGTTTACCTACCTTAGAAAGGATGGAAGGCTGAGTCAACCTTGAGCCTTGGCGAGATTCAAACCTGCAGTAATTGCAGGCAGCTGGTCTTAATAACCAGCTTAATAACAGGGTGCCTTAGACCACTGTACTACCAAGGCTTTTGTAGTATCCTTCCCCTGCAGTGGGGTGGGAATGGAGATTTTGCAGTATCCTTCCCCTGGAGTGGGGTGGGAATGGGGATTGCATTGATGGAGTGGATCTTCTTCTCAAGGCCTGCAGAGAATCTCACGCTAAGGTCTACAAGGCCAAGTAGCTCCTGCCACCTTGGTAATAAATCACCCGTGGTTTCATTTTCCCCCTCCTTTCCTTCTCCTTTATTGCGTGTGAAATGGTAAAAATGAATTTCTTTTTGGAAACCAAAATAGCCCTGTGCATCACGTATTTTATTGACCTCTTTTCAGAGGTGAGTAGAGGAAAACGCCCCATCTTCCTGGATGAGACTAATAGCAATAGCACTTAGACTTATATACCGCTTCATTGTGCTTTCCAGCCCTCTCTAAAGGGTTTACAGAGTCAGCCTCTTGCCCCCAACAATCTGGGTCCTCATTTTACCCACCTCGGAAGGACGGGAGGCTGAGTCAACGTTGAGCCTGGTGAGATTCGATCTGCCATACTGCTGGCAGCCGGTGATCAACAGAAGTAGCCTGCAGTGCTGCACTCTAACCACTGCACCATCGCGGCTCATTAATGGACTAAGTCCATCTCTTGCTGAGATTTGTTGCAAGGTTGGACCCAGAGGGAAATGGGATTTGGGGGCACCTGTGAACTTTATTTATTCATTAAGAAAATTTATATGGCTACCCAACAACTGGTGACAACAATTAAACAACCAATTGATGAGCTCTGCATCATCCTGAGGTCCTGTTGGCAAAACCACATCTTCAGGATCTTCCTTGAAGTGTGAAGGCCAATCTTATTTCTGGATTTATTTATTCCAAAGGAAGAGAAGGTCATTCTTAGTCCCGCCAGATGGACCTCCTCAAAAGAGGAGATCCATAACATCCCTTGCCTTCCTGTTCTAGTGGATTGGGTAGATATATTTCGGAAAAGACTGTCCTTCAAACAACGGTCCTTCAAACAATCTGGTCCAAGGCCATAAGATAAAGGTAAAGGTTCCCCTCGCACATATGTGCTACTCGTTCCTGACTCTAGGGGCGGTGCTCATTTCCGTCTCAAAGCCGAAGAACCAGCACTGTCCGAAGACGTCTCCGTGGTCATGTGGCTGGCATGACTAAATGCCAAAGGCGCACGGAACGCTGTTATCTTCCCATCAAAGGTGGTCCCTATTTTTCTACTTGCATTTTTGACCTGCTTTCGAACTGCGAGGTTGGCAGAAGCTGGGACAAGTCACGGGAGCTCACTCTGTTACGTGGCGCTAGGGATTCGAACCTCTGAACTGCCGACCTTTCGATCGACAAGCTCAGCATCTTAGCCACCGAGCCACCATGTCCCTTTACCTTCCCACCAAAGGTGGTCCCTATTTTTCTACTTGCATTTTTTTACGTGCTTTCGAACTGCTAGGCTGGCAGAAGCTGGGACAAGGAATGGGAGCTCACCCCATTAGGTGGCACTAGGGATTCGAACCACTGAACTGCCGACCTTTCGATCGACAAGCTCAGCATCTTGGCCACTGAGCCACTGCATCCAAGGCCATAGAGGGCTTTAAAGATGACAACCAGCGAATTGGATCTGGAATTGATTTGGACCTACCTGTAAAAGTAATAAAGCAAGCAAATAGCCCTTCACACCACATATTAAAGGCTAAAGCGAGCAAATTGGAAGCCAATGCAGCGTCCACAAAAGAGGTGACTCAGGTGAAAATCTAGGTTAGCCAAAGAGAAGCCTTCCTTGCTTCAGCAGCAACAGAAATCTGGTGGAAAGATTCCCAATTTTGAACGTCTGTGAATTTCCTGGTTGTTTTCCCACCAATCCCTCAGTCAGAGTTTATTTTTTTTTTAACATCGTGTACTGAGGCAGATCATCCTGGAATGAAACATGACATTTCCTACACGAAGCTCTTCTCTTCTTCCTCTCGGCGC